GACTTTGTCAGAAATCAACACAATGTCTTATCTCCCATCCCTAGAACGAGCAACTGCAATTGGGAATAAGACTTCATGGTATCGAAGCTCCAGCTACACAGGTCAGGAATGACAAATGGTCTTGGCCAGCTCTCAGCCTCTGCCTTTACAAAGTCTGACACCTGTTGCAGTCACGAATTGCACTGCTAAAGAGGTAATCAAGCAAACCAAAGCTAGGATAAAAGGGATTATGTCTCCACTCACCCACACAGAAAGAAGGCTGTCTCCAACTGCAGAAGGAAATTCTTTCCATGGGCCCTGGAGCACCCTCCCCACTTGTGGGCACCATGGTTCAAGTCTGCCCCAGTGATCCTCTCCTGTATAAACCTCCAGGTCTAGATTATGGAAACCAGGAATCTCATCCAGCTGCTCAAATAACAAAGAAGTTAGCAGGATCTTCTGGTATAAATAACTGTAACTGCAGAGATCTATTCAGCCTTAACTCTTTGCTATAAACCTACAGAGAAACAAGGAAGCAACCCAGGTAAAAGCAAGACAATGGTCAGTGGTCAACTTCCCAAGGTAGGTTTCAGCTTCCACATTAACTAATCAGCTTGCAGAGCTTGCAGCACCTTCTACATCCAGCCTGTAGACAAAGGGCAACTATCATCCACCAACCGATTTTGTCCTCTTCTGGAAGAATCAGAAAGGAAAAATGTCTTCACTTCATTTCTCCTACTGTCCTCAAGATCACCTCCCTCCCCAAACCCCTCACTTCTGTTGTCCTCTCTAAGAAATATGCTTTATCCACTCCAATGGGCAGGACAGTAGTAACTAAGACAGGAGAATGACCCTCCTCCTTGCTTTAGGGAAGTTATCAGTTCCACCCTCCTCGGGAAGCTCTGTAGTCTCTGAGAAGAGGCTCACAGACACCATCACTCTACCTAAGCCAGTTAGGTCCTCTGCTGGTGCCAGCCTCTTTTTTCCCCACCAATGAGTTGGTACAAAGCCATTCCGTGTTCCATGCCAAACCAGTTATTCGCAACACTCATCAAAATCCACCTCCGTCCACTAACTCAGCACTCCTGCTTTCCTAGCATAGCCAACCTCCCTAACACCCTGACATCCTGGCCTTCAGCTTCACTATTTACATCACATGAGAGATTTGGGTTTTGAAAGCCCAATTCCCTCTGAAGAAAGTATGCAGATGATTCATCTTCTCTGAAAAAACTACCCATCCCAGGCCTTGATATCCATGCCAAAAAGTTCGAGATGGGGCTCGGAGAGGACAGAGTGGGGGAGTTCTGTTACATGGGAGAGCATTGCCTCAGTTTCCAAATGAAAAAGATGACACTCTGTTCTTGGGGCACTGCTTTGCCAGGGTGTCCTGCAGAAACCAAGGAAGCTTCCGTCCTGGAGTCACTGTGGACACAGCCTTGGATCACCGTGGAGCCTCAGACCACACTGACTCCTCCCTGTCTCCGTGTCTAACCCCCTCTCACATAGAGAGATCTGACCGACCACAGACATCCCCTCTGGCCTCCCGAGTGGTTTCTTCAGCACAGCTTCCAGAGCCAAATTAAACGTTCACTCTATGTCTATAGACAAAAAGGGTTTTGACTAAACTCTGTGTTTTAGAGAGGGAGTTAAATGCCGTTAACTTTTTAGGGGTGGGTGAGAGGGATGACAAATAACAACTTGTCTGAATGTTTTACATTTCTCCCCACTGCCTCAGGAAGGTTCACAACGAGGTCATCCGTGATAAGGAGTAGACCTCCCAGCCGGACTGTCCCTCAGCCCCCAGAGGACACTGCACAGAGATATGCTAACTGGACTTGGAGACTGACTCACACTCCAGAGAAAAGCGTGGAGCAGGGGTGCAGGGAGTGGGGCCAAGGTCCCAGGGACAGGATGTCTAGGAGAGAGATTGGGGTGAGGGTAATCCAATGCAATTACTGTGGCAGCTCAACATTGAAGGGAGGGGGAAGAAAGATGTGCAGCAGAGATGGTAAGCTCCAAAATTTGAGGCTTCGGCTGCTGGAAAGTTTTAGGGGCAGAGATAATAAGGCATAACAGACTTTGAGGGTTTACTACACACTAGACGCTCTATGCATTTACTTACTTATTATCTCTTATTTATTACTTTGTGTAACTCTTGTAATAATCTTATGAAAACAGAAACCCTCACATAGCCATTTCACAGATGAGAAAAGTGACATTTTTGGGAGGATAGCTAAGGATAGCTAGTAAGTAAAGGAGCTGGGACCTAAATCAAAGCCTTTCTAACCAGAGTACACACTCTTTTCTTTTTCCAGGGTAATTTTTTTGAATTTTTATTTTAAGTTCTGGGATACATGTGCAGAAGGTACAGTTTTGTTACATAGGTATATGTGTGCCATAGTGGTTTGCTGCACCTATCAACCTGTCATCTAGGTTTTAAGCCCTGCATTCATTAGCTATTTGTCCTGATGCTCTCCCTTCCCTCCCCACACCAGACAGGCCTTGGTGTGTGATGTTCCCATCCCTGTGTCCATGTGTTCTCATTGTTCAGCTCCCACTTATGCGTGAGAACATGTGGTGTTTGGTTTTCTATTCCTGTGTTAGTTTGCTGAGGATGATGGCTTCCAGCTTCATCCATATCCCTGCAAAGAACATGATCTCATTCCTTCTTGTGGCTGCATAGTATTCCATGGTATATATACCATATTTTCTTTATCCAGTCTATCATTGATGGGCATTTGGGTTGGTTCTATGTCTTTGCTATTGTAAATAGGAGTGCACACTCTTGACCACTACACTGGAGCACTAGAAATAGTGACTATATTCATTAACCAATTAGAAACTAGTATGTGGAGGGTATTGGGAGCAGGTTTATGACTCTGAAAGATAGTCTGGCTTCATTTTAACCAGGGAATTAATCATCCATTCCATGAAGCACCATTTTCAGAAAAGGCATTCCCTGGCGCTCACCCTAAGTGTTTGTATTCTATGGCTAGATAGGCCAGTGTATAACCACTCCTTTTTTCAACACTTCTTCCAGCAAAAACACAAAAGAGCACGGTGAGCTGAGCTTATACTCCTTACCAGAGGCCTCTGATGTCCCATCTGTTAGTAGGATACCAATCCATGGCTCCTCACTTTCTAGGAGTCTCGGAGGAGACAGTGGACCCTGGAGACACCCAGGACACAAAACCAGAGCAAGATGAAGAAGCTCCACTCACCTCTCCCCTCATTCTTGTCCAGAAATTTGCTCTATCTTCCCCATTTTTTGCCCTGTCCAAATTACCCACCACAATTAGACAAAAGGCCTCAAGAGGTCTGCAGAGGGGCAGGATGAGGGCAGGGGTCAGCTTTTCTCCTTCAGTTGATTGTTTTGTGATTACTTTAGACTTGGTCTAGTCAGGAAGAATCCATCACTCTCAGCAGGCAGTGGGTGGGGAGAGGTACCAGCAGACTTAGAAGTAGATATGGAATGTATTAAATCGTGGTGCAAAAAGAAAGGCCTGAGAGGTTAAACCAAACAGAGAGATGCAGTTGCACAAAGTTAGGGGATTGAAAGAGTCCCCAAGGTACCAGAAGGTCCAACATAGTAAGAATTTTAAGAGGTGATAAAGGTAACTTGCTGTCAGAAGAGGCAGATATTACTAAAGAAACAAGTGAAATTGATTCCTTTCTCACGCCACCATAAAGGTGAATGGCTACCAGATGGTCAGACAGAAATACCTGTCCACAGGCTGCTGGAGAGAAAAATAAATGCAAGAAGAAATCAGATCCTCCTCTGAGCAGGTGAGCAGGAAATTAAAATATCTGTACACTGACCACAAAGCAAGACCACACATGGTCGTCAAGAGGCTGTTCAGAAGACAGCAGGAGTGGAAGTTAGCGTCTATGCTGTCTGCCGTCCCACACGCAGAAAGCCTAGTCACAAACCTCCCAGTATCAGAGGGAAAAGCCTTTGGAGAAAACCCAGCAGAACCAACAGGAATAAAGATGGGACAGCAGAGACCCAGGCCACTGTGGGAAAACCAAGCTCACATCCTAGAAGAGTCGTTGGTCCAAGTAACAATTCCTTGAGCACGTGCTATGTGCCAGGCCCTCAGCCGGGAGCTTTTTCAGTGTTTTTCTAAATGTAGGCAGTTTCTGAAACGGCTCTCAGTGATTCTTGCCTCCCATGTAATCCCTTCCTCTAAGTGTGGGCTGGACTTAGGGACTTGGTTCTAATGAATAGAATATGGTAAGAGTGATGGGGCGTCACTTACTCCCATCAAAAAATCTCCCTGGATTTGTGCTTCATAGACTCCCATCTCTCCACTCCAGCATGTCTTTCAGATTCTGGGCATCGGTGAGTAAATCTTCTTCCTCTCTGAATAATCATCTTTTCTGTGGGCTTGTTGCTACGTTTCTCCCAGAAGACACCCGCATACACACACACACAGCATGCAAGCACACCATTACACTAGGAGGAGGAGGGAGCTCAGCCTCCTCTTGCCATTGTCCTGCTCCTTCCCAATCAATCTGCCAACCACAAATTAGCATTACACAGGCATTTACAGTGTAGCCTCCAGGGATAGATAGAAGCTGCTAATCCTTAAGAAGGAGCGCTGGTACAATAGCAAGTGGCCTGCAGCCTCATCTCCGCTCACGGGGGTGTTCCTGTGCAGCAGCATCTTGCTCCTTTGTGAGCTGGCCAAGTCAACCACAGATGGTGGAGTCACTGGGCCTTGGGCAAAGAGGAGACACTGGAAATCTAAGGAGCACCAAGCTTTGCAAATGCCTGCATGACACGCTGTTCGCTGTTCGATGACTCTATTTATCCTCAGCAGATGATCCTCTTGGAACGGATTCCTTCTCAGAGCTTCCAGCCTGGTCTTTTGTCAGTATACCCTTCCATTTTCCATTTCTACTGGTTAACATTAATGAATGGCTCCAACTGGGACCAATCCAGGGCATGAAATCCCCTGGGGGGTCAAGTCTGTAGTTCCCACCTGCTCCACCCTCTCAGCAACTTGGATTAACAAAGCTGGGGTTTGTTTTGTTTTACTTTTCTTAAGGGATTGATTTGGCCCTCTGAAGTATGATTGAAATTCCTGATCCCAAAGGAAGGCAGCCCTGGCTGGGTTCCCAGGGTCGTTTCTATCCCCAGGCACGGTCCTCAGAGCCCCCAGGGGCCTCTGATTGCAACTCTGCCTGCTGAAATCCCAAGGGCTGGCTCCTGCAGCAGCCTCCTCTGAGGCTTCCTGCTCAGCTCCTGGGCCCTTATCCTGCAGCTGGGTCTGGAAACCAGAGGAGCTTGCAAGAGGCAAAGCCTCTTATCACAAACATTTCCTGCCTATTCCCGCCTGACCCCGCATACCATAGCCTTTCCCTGGCTAGTTGGGCCACCAACGCAGCCCTCACACAAAAGACTTGAAAGGCAGGGTCCCCAGACTTGTCTCTACTCCAGATTCTTCTCCATCCACACTGTCTCCTTTCTCTAGGGAGCTCACAGGCTCTTCCAGGCCACCCAAACGGTTCAGTCGCTGAAAAGCATGGAAGGAATTCAGGTGGAACCTGCAAAAAAGAGGACAAAAGGCAGGTAGGATTTCTAGTTCAAATAGAAGATGTGAGTCACAGCTGGAGTTGGGCCCACCTCCCCAAGGACCCCACTGTGCTATCTCTGACAAAGAGATGGAGACAGAGTTGAGAGAAAGGCCTGCACACCTGTGTGTGTGTGTGCATTTCCCTGGCATCCCCACATTGTGGCCTCCCCATGTTGTGCTGCAAGTGTGGCTGAAGCCGTATGGACTGTTGATGGTCTGTGCTGAAGGTCTAGGAGACAGGGCCAGAGGGTCTAGCCAGCCCAACCCAGCTGTGCTCAGCAGGTCACTAAATTCCACAGCCCCTCTCCCCTCCCCACACCTGGGGCACCCTAGTCACACCCCTTCCCCCGGCCTACACTGGCCTTCTCTCTGCCTCCTGCCCCCAGCTCACTGTGTGGTCCAAGCCCTCTGCCACAAGAAGAGCCAGGGAGGGAGGGATGGGCCTGCGTGTTTACAGTCAAGCATAACTGAGCCTTTATTTTAAATAAATAAAACTTTTAGCTAGTTTTTATTTTCCCTTTCTTTCCAAAAGCAGTTTTGTCCCTCCTCCTCCTCCTCCTCCTCATCATGGCTGAGCCTTTATCTGTGGGGCCACCCAGGGAGGGGCTGTGGGAGGACGGAGGAACAGAGGCCAGACTGACCCTGATGCTTCACGTCTTCTCAGGCCGTGTGAAGTTCTCTCTCTCTGTCTCTCTCTCTCATCCTCACAGAGCCTCAAGGTTATTAAGAATTCAGGGATGTCCAGGCCTGAGGAATAGAGACTAAACAGGAAGCCCGGGCTTCATCGTCAGCATATTGTCCATCTGTTCCCCCCAATCACAGGGTTGCCCACCCCCCATATGAAATTGCCATCCATCTGTCTTCCTCTTTGGTCTGTCATCTCTCTGTCTCCCCTGTTGGACCCTCATCCATCTGCCCCTCCCATGGGACACCGTCTCTCAAGGTCTCTTTTGGGTTGTCACAAATCCGCCTTCCCCATGGGATGTTCCATCCGCCTGTTACCCCATCGACCTATCAGTCCATCCGATCCCCTTGATCACCCTTTTTTGTCCATCTGTCTCCTCCCATAGGACTTACTTTTGCCCATCTGTCTCCCCGAATGGGGCCAGCAATGGTGAGTCTCTGAGGCATGGAAACAGTTGGGATTCTCTTCTGGTTTTGATCCCAGCAACCACAATAGTAGCTACCATCAATCAAGTGTCTATGTGCCATACACTCTACATACATTATTCCCTTTTGCCCTCCAACAGCCCCGTATGTGCTTATTTCCCTGTTTTACCAGAAGGAAACAGAGGCTCAGAAGGGTTAAGTGTCTTGCCCAAGGTCGCACAGCTCCTAATGGGAGACACAGGGTAAAAACCGGCTCTGCCAGTATGGAGTAGGGGTGAGGACACAGTCTTCTTACTCCACCCCCAGAATGTAAGACTCCCCTTCCCCTGGCCTCCCTGCACATTTAATTTACACTTTGCTGCTGGATGTTTTCAGACTGATGAAGTTTCCTCCCTGCCCTGGCTCTGCACAAAAAAAGTGAGGGAAGAAAAGCAGCCAGATGTGAGAGCATTTTGAAGGTCTTTTTGGGGGGATGGAGAGTGATGTTAAATAAACATCCAATGGTATTCTTTCTGCAAAACGATCCATTTTCATGGCACCCAGGAGTTCGTCCAAGGGTCTCTGGGTCACTGGGGAAAAGTATTCCGTGTGTTTTGGCTCCATATTCTTCCATTGGCCACAAAGAGCTAATTCTTCCAATTAATGAAATCAGCACCACTGATGGAGATGTACTGACAAATTATTTTCAAGATGAATATATTCACACCCATGGTGGGACTGATTAGCCTGAAGGATTTGGAGGTTACAGAATGAAGGTCCCCCTGCCCACCGAAGACACTGAGGTCATTCATGGTGGCCGGGATGTTGGCCACCATCTCAAGGGACGCCTCTCTCCGCTGGAGCCATGGAGACTGGACTGGGTTGTCTGTGTGGAAGGGCTGCCTATCAATGGACTTCTGTATGGCCTCAGCAGGTCCCCAGCACCCCCCACCCCCTACTGCCCCAGCCAAGTCCCCTTCAGGGCCTGGTCTGAAGGGCCTATTCAGCATTTAGGACTCCCTGATGGGAAGTGAAAGAGAGACAGACAGATGCTTCCGTGGAGCTGGGGAATAGCTAGAAGCCTGGAGACAGGAAGGGAAGCTTGAAGCCACCAGGGAGGAGCCCAGAGAGAAGAAAAAAGGCAGGCCGGAGGTCCTATAGGATAAGAAAGAGAAGAGGGGAGGAGGGGAGGCTGTCGGGGGAGGGGGGGAAGAAAGAGGGTGGGGAGAACCAGAGGAGGGGGAGGAGGCCGGAAGGAGGCCTCCATGCCGAGGGAGAGATCCCAGTTGGGAGACAGACCAGAGCCAGAAAGCAGTGTGGGATTTTTTAAGCCACAGATTTAATTTCCTGATGATATTTTTTTTCAGGCTGATATTCACAGCATTTTTCATTCCCCAAGCAGATCTACCAGTCATGAAAAAGTGATCCAGAGTAAGCTGAGTGATGGGCCCAGTTTGAACCTGAACAGACCCATCAGGATAGCGCAAAGTCAAGGCAACATGTCCTTTCTTTTTCTAACCACTAGAGACTAAGGACAAATTTTGCTTCTGGCTGGTCTTGGAGGAGGGGAAAAGAACAGTTTCTAGGCAGCGCTGGTGAATAAGTGACAATGCAACTTCAAGGGCTAAAAGATCTCTGTTAATCATCTCTTTGGTTTCTGTTTTCCTGTGTGGGCCCTGACTGAATCAGTATTCTGAGCTTTGAGAGTTATAAGTTAGGAGCTAAAGAAACCAAAGCCCAACTTTCTCCAGGGCATCTTATACCACTACCACCAAGCCATCTTTCTAAAGCCTTATTTTCCTGCATAAAAATCCATCTGTGCACCCCTATGCTTACCAAATAAAGTCTACACCCTTCAGCCAGAAAAGCAAGGCCCTCTAGAACCCAGCTGCTCCAAGTGTGGTCCAAGACCAGCTGCCTTGGCATCACCAGGGGCCACGCCATGGACCTGCTGAATCACCAGGCAACCCTTGTGCGGTGACAGCACGAGAAGCCCTGCTCCTTACCGCTTCTGACCCACTCCAGATAATCTCCTGCTGCTGCCATGGAGGAGGGCTACTTCCGCAGCAAACTGGAAGTGTAAAAGTCTTCAAATATACCTTTCGCTTATCCAGTTCCGAGTGCTGGTTCCTGACTTTCCTTTATCTTAAAGATGCTTCCCCTTGTACCCCCTTGAGGAAATCTCACCCACATTTAAGACTCAACTCAAATGCCATCTCGTCCAAGGATCCTTCCCTTCTTACCGTCCCCTTTCCTTGCCAGAGGTTAGAACTTCCAAGGCAGTTTGTTTGAATCTCCCTTGGAGTGCTTTCTACCTTCTGTCTTGCATTTTGATTACTCATGTACTTATCAAGGGGCAGCATTGTGTAGTGTTTTGCAGGGTTTCCTGGGTTCAAATCCTTGTCCCATGGCTTCCTAAAAATAGCACCAAACAAGTGCTTAATCTCTTTGGACCTCAGTCTTCTCATCTGTAAAATGGGAGTAATAATGATACCTCCTCATAGAGTTGTTGCAAGGATTTTTAAAATATATTTATTGAATACCTATGTGCCAAGCAATGGAGATACAAATGTGACCAAAACCATATAGTTCTGTTCTCATAGTGGATTACAGTGCTTGTACAGTGTTTAAAACACAGCGAGTGCTCAATACATTTTAGCTATTATTATGCCTTATCACATTCACCATACCCTGGGCATTTGTGTAAGGCAGGGAGCATATCTACAAAGATACATAGGTGTTATAGCCCCAACATCTAACACAGAGCTTGGCATATAGTGTGCACTCAAAAAGTGATTGTCAACTGACTGAGATGACCCAAAGAACAATGTTCTTAATTGCACAGGAAATGAGAGCTGTCATCCCTAAAGCTCTGTGCTTACCCAACATAGCAGTCTTGCCAAGGTTGACTGTTTTGTGCCCCTTTTCCTAGAACCATAATTTGTTTAATCAATGATTGCTGTTATTTTTCTAATAGTCGTTGGTTAAAAGTTCTGTTTCCTCAGTGTGGTTTCCATGCTGCCCTCTCATTGGTTTCTTTCTGTGTCCCACTCCCTGCTTCCCCTCTGAAAGCTCAATGTTATGTTTTGGGGTGGGTTTTTAGGGGAGCAAGTAAAATATTTCCACTGGACATAGTATTTATTTTATTTTTAACTTCTTTGTATAACTTAATCAATTGTCTCATTAACATTCTTTTGACTCCCCCAAAAAATGGTTTCTTAAAATTCTTATTCTGTGTTTTCATCTCCAGGGGAACACTTGGGCTGGGTTTTCTACCAAGAATGACACAATTCTTTCCATAGCTACATAGAGGTGGAATTTGAAAACCAAGAGAGTTGTATTGGTCCAGCTGTATTGCCTTAGTCCTACGCCCCAAAGAATTCCTCATACACACAAGACCCCAACTCTCCCACTGGCCACATTTCGCAATGCTGCCTCTATTAAAAATGTTCTCTTTCTGGTTAAATCCTAATGGAAAGTGAAATAAATACCATTTAAAAAGCTCTTTCAAGATGAGGGTCATTTGCCTTGAATTACAATGATCCTTGACATATCACTATTTCCTTCAGACTCAGTTATTGTATTTTTTTTTTTATTTCAATCAACAAACATTTTAAATTTCCTTTCGCATTTCCTTGTGGTGACCTGGTTTTGTTTATTTCTCCTTTCATTTTTTCAAGATGGGGTCTCACTCTGTCACCCAGACTGGAGTACAGTGGCACAATCAGAGCTCACTGCAGCCTTGAATCCTGAGGTCAAGTGATCCTCCCACCTCAGCCACTCAAGTAGCTGGGATTGCAGGTGCAGACCACCATGCCTGCTTCTGGTTTGGTTTAGAAGCAATTCAAATATCATATGTCTCCTATAGTTCTGTCCCATCTACAATTTGCATGTCTCAATCTTCTTTTTTGTTATCCACAGGCAAAATATTATTCAGTGCAAGCTCCTTCCACCCTGATAGGAAAAGATTTTCCCCTGTATTGTCTCAGCTTTAAGAAAGGCAGAAAAAGACAAGTAAAGTCACTTGTTTGGGATTTCAAGGAACAGGGAAAAAATGGAACCTCTGGCAAATGGGAATGTGATCTACATGGGAAAATCTCTGAGAAGACACCTACTCTTCCATTGGTCTTTGTCTCTGAGGCTCCTGGAGCTGCAGCCTCATAGGAGTGGCTCCTTGTTGGAAACTGGGGCAAAAAAGTACAGCACTGGTAAGGACAGAGGACTCTGTCTGTGGAAAAGGGACAATCGGTGAACTTTCGAGCCCAGGGGCAGGGGCAAGGTTTCCAGTGTGAGCTAGACGTCTGGAAACTCAATCTCACCTAGAGTATCAGTTACCTCACAGACTCAAACCCTCTCCTGCATAAAGGGTGGCAGTAGCGGGGCGGGCCTCTGACATGAAACCCTCTGTTCACTTCTTAATTAACTCTAAGAAATGTGCATCAGAATTTCTTAGAAAGGGAAATTGTTCTGCCCGGTAGAAGGACAGAGGTGTCATCAAGATAGGAGTTTGAGTACGACAAAAATATCAAGAGCTTCCCATGTTTGCCTTGGCCCAGAGAATTAGACATTAGTGGGGTCCCTGTTTAGATCATGGAACCATTGCTCCCTGCCAAATTTCTGCTCAGGGCTTGTTTTCCAAAGAGAATCATAAGAGTTACCTTTGCCCTGCCTACTGTTTTGATATCAAATGTCCTTGGTACTCGAGCATGAAAATATGAGGAACTCTCAGATCCTGATTCTACACACTTTGGCAACTCCAGATAAGCACCTGAATTACAGAATCCTATTTAACATCTGGGTGTGAATTCTCTCCCCATTCACTCTGAGCCTGCCACCAGACTAGCCCTCTCTAAGCCTTCATTCACGTATTCTCCATCAGCATTTAGTATAAACCTATCAGTATGCTTGACACTACACTAGGGACTTGAGGTACAAACAGGCCCAAGACGTGATCTGTGCCCTCAAGGGTTTATTTTCTAGCAGGGAATACAAATGTATGGATTAATAATAGCAGCTACTGTTTCTTAAGCCCTTATGAAATGCTTTTTCTTTTAGTGACAACATCTCACTATGATACCCAAGCTGGAGAGCAATGACCATACAAAGGCGTGATCATAGTTCACTATACCCTCAAACTGCTTGGCTCAAGCAACCCTCCTGTGTCAGCCTCTTGAGTAGCTGGGACTACAGGCACACACCACTGCACCCTGCATATGATATGCTTTTGATAAACATTGAGCTAAATAGTTGTAGTAGACAGCCTCTAAAATAGCCCACAATGATCTTCTCCTGAAATTCACATGCTTGTGTAGTGCCCTTCCACACTGACTAGGGCTGGTATAAATAATAGGATCTGTGGAAATAATAGTCCATGACTTCCGAGACCAGGACATAAATGACAATGCAGCTTCCACCTTGCTCTCTCTTGGATCATTCACTCTAGGGGACTCCAGACGCCATGTGGTGAAGATACTCAGGAAGCTCTATCCTGTGGGAAGGTCCACATGGAGAGGAACTGAGGCTGCCCACCAACAGCCAGCGAGGAATTGGAACCTTCTGCCCATAGCCATGTGACTGAGTCATCTTGGAAACAGTACCTCCAGCCACAGACAAGCCTTCAGATAACTGTAGTCCCATCTAACATCACGATTGCATCCTCATGAGGCAGAACCACCCAGCTAAGCTGCTCCCAAATTCCTGACCCACAGACAGAAAACAGTGTTTATTATTGGTTTAAGCCACTAGATTTTAGGGTAATTTGCCATGCAGCAATAAGTAACTAATACAGAGCTTTGTGTTCATTTTCTGTTGACTCTTCAGGCCAGTCTTAGTGGGTATTTATTACTATCTCAACTTTACAAATGAGGACACTGAGATTTAGAAAGGTTATAGCAAGAGGCAAAGTCACAGCTAAATAGCTAAGTCTTCTGAACTTCAAACTCTGTGTCTTTAGCCTCTATGTAATAAAATGATTTTGGCGCAAACACAGAAGTCTATACAGGGAACAAAAGGTCACAGTGGGAGTAGTGAACTCTACCTGGGAAGTCTGGAACTGGAGGGGAGGAGGAGGCAGGGAAGACTTGTTAGAGGATATCAGACTTGCAATGAAAAGGAAGGATGAGCAGATGTTCACCAGGTGGGCAGCAAGGAAAGGGATTCCAGATGAAGCAGCATGAGCAGGGGCATGGAGGCACCAAACAGCCTGTGTTCAGGACCTCTGAAGTTTCCAGACCTGGAAGAACTGAGGCCTTGTGGCTTGTACATAAGGGGATACTCTTGGTTCTTGCCCAAGGTCTATTCTTGCAGTCACAGGACAGAACCCTGTGCCCCCCAAATAATTAGCACATTTCCTACAAACTACTGTCCCAATCTCTTCTCTTGATTAACTTAAATCCTCACTCCCCATTTCTTTCCTAGGTCAGTTTTTTTTTTTTTTTTTTTTTTTTTTTTTTGAGATGGAGTCTCACTCTGTTGCCAGGCTAGAGTACAATGGCGTGATTCAGCTCACTGCAACCTCCGCCTCCTGGGTTCAAGCGATTCTTCTGCCTTAGTCTCTCAAATAGCTGGGACTACAGGCACGTGCCACCACACCCAGCTAATTTTTGTATTTTTAGTAGAGACAGGGTTTCACCATGTTGGTCAGGTTGGTCTCGATCTCTTGACCTTGTGATCCGCCCACCTTGGCCTCCCAAAGTGCTGGAATTACAGGGATGAGCCACCGTGCCTGGCCAGTCAGTCTCTTTTAAAGACCCAGCTCCCTGGCATCCCCATCATGCATACCACTGTTCTTCTTGGCAGGCAACTCTTGCTCCTTACAAAAATGTGGTTATGATGCTTATATTTGAATTCATAACATCTCTTTTCTACTGCAAAATACCATGTAAACTTTACTTTCTTCTTTAGCAGGATCGCAAGAATGGCAAATTAGGGAGATTCATGGGACCAAGTGTATTGGATTATAGAAAGGTGCCTTTAACTTTTATTAGGTTGGTGTAAAAGTAATTGCGGTTTTTGTCATTACTTTCTTCAAAAATAAACAATTACTTTTGCACCAACCTAATACCTTTTCTCATAGCAGCCTTCTGGATCCTTGGTGGATTATAAATTAGAGACGCACAGTACAAGGAATTAGTAGCTGGTTTAATAACAGTATCCACACCCCAAAAATATTGACCATGGGTTTATGTCAAGATCTAGAGGACAATCTATATTGGCATGACCAACGGTTCTGAGCTCAGCCCTCTCCCAGGCAACATCTTTTAAACCAATAACTTGAATGAAGATATAGAAAGTAGGTTTATCAAATTACCTAATGGTTAAAACAGGTAGGTAGCAACCCCATGAGATGGCAGAACTAAAACTGTCTCCCAAAAGGCTAACATGAGTCAAGTCTTACCAAGACATCTTTACCTGACATGTAAAGTCCTTCACTTGAGTTCCAAAAGTAACTGCACAGATACACAATGAAGATTTCTGACTCGGGGTAACTGTAAAAGGGAAGAACATTAAAGAGTTTTAGCTCTAGTTGAATAGAAGCGAAGACACAGCCTGCACTAGGGGAGAGGAGGAGGGACAGTTGGATTCTGAAGGTTTACTGCTGAGATTCGACAGCCTCACCACCAACCCCAGGCTGTATTTAGTAACTCGCACTCTACTCCATTAAATGTGTTTGGGTTTCCAGCCCCCTCCCCGTGGCCCTCACCCCAGACTAAGCCAGGAGCCCTTAGAAGGTAATGAGAACACTGAGAGCTTGGAGTCTGGGAAGAGCTTGGAAACGAGAGCGCTCAGAGCCTCTCCCTGCGCGGCCCTATCCCTGCTGATAAGCCTGCGAGCAAAGCTGGCTGACAAGTGATTGGAAACAGGAGTTCCCAAACCCTTTAACTCTTTCCTACCCTGCTCATGTGCTGGAGTCTCCATCTCCCTTGGCTTCCCCCTCTCTGTATCAGGGCTCTCTTCTCCCTCTACCAGGCTTTCCATCTACTCCGCCTTTTGTCCTGATGAGTACCGAATGCTGTCCTTCTGCCTGAAAAGCAGTCACTTTCACCACCAAAGATGCAGGCTGCCCAGACAAGTCAACCAGGGAGTCTCCCTCTGGTCCAGACCCTACCAAGCTCACTTAAACAACCACACCTGTGCTTGTCCAGCGCTGCTGTTCAGCAAGCAGCAGGAACCTACCAGGGGAATGTTGGTCCTGTTTGGTGTTTGGGGTTTCTGGGAGCGGAGACCCCAAGGCAAGTCACAGAAACCTAAGCCCAGAGCCATTCTCAGCTGCCCCTGCTGGCTGGGGAACCCTATCAAAGGACTTCAGGGGTCACCCTCTTAAGCCAGATCTGACTTTGCTAGGGGATCCTAAAGGCCTTCCATTCACTTAGGTATTGCCTGCTTCGTGGACAGACCTCTTACAGGCATGGATGACGAGGGGTCTGTCTGTGACAGTGGCCAGCATGACTGAAGCTAAGAGGTAAGCTTCCCTCCTTACCCTGGGGATGGGCATTAAGGAAAAGCCAGGCTTAAGAGCCACAGTAATTAAGTGTAAAAGAAGCTTCCTTCAGTGGAATGGAATTCAGATAAACTGCCATTATCATGCAAAGCAGCTTTGCACCTAAAAGCCCTTACTCAAACAGGCAGTTTAATTAAATCCCTAATCTCCTCTGGCCTATTTGACCCCTTCTCTCCTCCTCTTATCCCCTTACCACCCCCACCCCCTGCCTCAACCA